ATATATTGTATTGTATATTTAGAACTGCGTTTTAGCATTCGCATTTTAAATTTCAAATTGTAAACCGTTACTTACATCTACGTCTATGTAAATTTTGGAGCTGTTTAGATATCTACGAATAGTCTTTAGAGTTCGTCATTCTCAGCAATCATATACGCCTTTAAAGACGTCAAAAACCAGATAGCGAAACGGGAATTAAAATGAATAAATTCACTTTTGATTTTGTCGCACTGTGGGACCTGTTAATAATATCAATTATTAATATTCTTGCCATCGTTGTTGTTGTTACTGTTGTCGTTTTTTGCTAGCTACTCGCACAGTGAATATAAATTCGAATCTATGTTGATGCGAAGCTTAAAAGCAACTGCAACAACAGTAAGGAGAACAACAACAATAACATTGCTTAAGCGGTGAGCTGCGAACTCGAATTCGAGTTCGAATCTATGCTGATGAGAAGCCAACAGACAAAAACAGCAACAGACAGCAGCAACAAAAACACAACAACAGCGACAAGAACAAGAAAAGCGACGCGAAGCGAGACGAGCTGAGAATGAATAAACTATTTAACGTATTGGTCGAATTGTATTGGCGATCTCAGTCTCAAAGTCTATAAATGGCTGCGTTTGTCCAGAGCCAATTTACAGTTTAGCATTGAACTTGGTCGGGAGTTCGCGAAAAGAGCCGTGCGCTGCGTCGCCTTTGATTCCTGTTCTTGAGGAGTATTTGCTGCTAAATATGCTTTTTGCCGTGTGCTCCGTTTTTCTGTTCGCTTGCCTAACACTAGGTAGCGCCAGCCGTCCATCCAATTTTCGTGAGTCCGAATGAATGAGCCGAATTGCCGCGTGCCAAGCTCCTAAGTGTTTTGTATTGATTTTGTATTTCATTTAGCCGCCGAACTGCCGATTTGTCGTTACGGCGACACAGAATGCATCATCAATGTGTCTCACAAGCTGGTGCGCCAATATGCGCGCACGGGCTATGCACCCGCTGCATTCCCACAGGTGGAGCCGTTCTTGATTAAGCGCTTTGATATTTCGGATGGACGCAGCGGCTCGCTGAGTCTCAAGTTGAACTTCCGGGATGTAAATGTGGAGGGCTTGTCCGGCGTCAAGTTCGACCGGGCCATGTAAGTGGACGAAACAAACATTTATGTTTGCATGTATGATTTTTTATTGATCTCATTGGTTCGCATTGTTAACTTGCAATCCGCAGTGGCTTCGAGAGGAATCCATCCACAAGTAAGTTTGAAATGTACGGCGCGTTCTCGAAAATTGTGCTGCGTGGCAAGTACCTGGCCGATGGACGCATTCTGATTCTGCCCATACGCGGCGATGGCGATGCTGACATCACCCTGCACAATCCCAAGTTCTCGGTCAAGTTCAAGCCTGCCACGCAGGTGCGCAACGGACGCACCTACCTAAGCGTAGATAAGCTCAAGGTCCTCGTGGAGCCACAAAAGTAAGTCGAGAGCTGCTCACATAAGCCAATTTACTATCAAATGGAATTCCCTCTCCAGGATGAACATTAAGTTGACCAACCTCTTTAACGGTGACCAAGCATTGGGCAACAATTTGAACCAATTCCTGAACGAGAACTGGTCCGATGTCTGGAGCGAGCTGCAGCCTTCAGTACATGTCGCCATTGCGGATATCATGAAAAGTATTCTCGCTACACTCTTCAAACGTTTCGCCTACGAGGATTTATTTCTGGAGGAATAAAAAAGCACCGCCCCCACTCTTTGAACGTGACATATCTTAATATATCTATGTATAACCGTAGTCTATAAGCCTTTAGCTATTAACGTGTACGTGTGCGAGTATTTTTCACCACAAATATGCTTCAATGGACTGTTTTGCTTAAGCAACACTTACGAATCTAAGCACTTTTAGAATACCAACAATTAATTAATAAAACAAATTCGATAATTGAAATTAAAAGTTTCCAAACATATTTAAAATTGAACTTTTGATATAATTCATTTTAATTCTCTCTCCCAGTTCCTGCTGTTTCTCTAGCCAAAGCATATTATCATTTTAGTCAGTCACTGGCTTTTGACATTATAATAGCATTTTATATAGTATAGCACTGTATACTGTATAATAATGTTCTTGTTTTTATTTCCGTGAAGCTGACGCATAAATTTAAGCCAGGAATTTGGCAGCCAATTCACGTGATTGATTTGCATACAAATACGACGTCAATCACATTCACATTTTAAATCCAACCCGTTTTTCGACAGTGCAGTCTGGTCTACAACTGAGCCACAGCCGGCAATATGTAAATATGTATGTATATTGTGCATATATGTATATGCCTCTAAATATATGTATGCATTTAAGAGCTATAAAAACCTTTGTCAAGTTCAAGTGTAGTCAACGGTAAAGCCAACAAATAAAGCAACTGATAGCTAGTTAACCTTGGAACTCTACGCGAAATCTTCCATGTAAGCTGCACGAGTCACTCAACTGTTCGATGGATACTTACGAACTAAGAAGCTAGCTGTCTGTATTACGATCAGGTTAAGCGACTTGTTGTTGTTATTAAATTTATTGTTGTTTACAATCATTTTCGGAATCTGGAGGCTGGTTAACTGGACAATCAAGTGTACTATATATGCAGCATACATTTAGCTCTGCATGCAGGCAATTTTAATACACACATACTACATATACATATACATACTACATACTATATATATATTTACAACAAAAAGTAGTGTTCTAAACAGTTGTGACCGACTAAGAGGCACCCTGATATATAAAATATTATTGTTTATATATACAGATACAGATACCCTATTATTTTCATGCTCTCTCACCATTGCCTAAGGGGGCTATCCCAAAAAGTTGCCCCATCATTATGTTAGGCTAATTAGTACAAAACTCGTTTTTGGGTTTAGTTTTCAGTTGTCAATAGTACGGTAGTAAGACAAATATACACACATAAAGCGAAACATTTGTTTGATTGCCTCGTTTCAACTGGTACTTAGTTTCTTTAAGTTGACATTCGATCAGATATTGAATCTACTTTAAGCCTATTATCGCTGTTAAATATATGTAGGTGTCGAGTTTTAATCGGAGAAGTTATTTGTAGTTTTAATTTATAGGCTATTTTTAGAGATTTACTCGCTAATTCCAATGAACAACAATAATTCACTCAGTTTTTATTACAGCATCTGAATCAAATCAGCCAGAAGTCATTATTTATATATATTAATTAATACATATAGTTTTATATTACCTTTAGATTGTGTAGTATAGTATCTCAAATGTATTTGAGGTAATCTCAAGTATGATATTGAAAAATCAGTTTTATTTCCAGTTTTTAAAACCTTCATTGATGATGAGTTGATATGTACAATAATAACAAGTATTCTATGATGTAAGGAAATTAAATGATTGGAAATGGGTTGTTGTAAATACAACGATTAGATGTAATTAAAGAATTATTGTTTATTGTGTTATTGGTGAAAATGCACTGCAAAAATTAATTATTAAAATTTCCACTCAAAGCTTGTCCGATTAATGAATAAAGTGATTTTAAATGTATAATATTTTTATAACACCAGACTTTTTTTATGGCCAGGATTAGTTTTATTTTTATTAAAATAACAAATGGAAAGTTTCGTTTGGAACAGAATTTTGTACATTTTTTTTTTAATGTAGCGTTAAATTGGTGTCACGATAACAAGAGCATTGCAGTGGGGCTTTACAACATTCTTAGTTTAACGAAACATGCAACTGAAATAAGAACCTGGACACAATATTATTTGTGTATCAATTCAGTAAAATTGATTGTAGCCGCGGTTCAAACAATAACTCAAAATTAATTTCCTTTATTCGATTTAGGCATACGTTCAAATCTTTAGTTTCTATATTTCTTGAATAATTAATATTCCTCTTTTTTTCTAAGTGTTTTTTTTTTTTTTTGCGATAAAATGATAACCTTTAAAGTTGCTGTCAATGAAATAATTGCCAGTCACGTTAATCCTCAGATTACCCACCATTATATTATAGTATGATATAGTATATTATGGAGCTCAAACAGGTTATATTTGTTTACGGGACATATCACTTTATAATAGACTAATTTATTTATAAGTCATATATTTTTGTTAATAAGCTACAGTTTGCTATAAAATCGTACCTAGACTTTGGAAACCAGTTAGTTGTTTCCACAATTTCACTTCAGTCAGTTTGCACCGGAAAAATGTCGCGCATTATTTTGAGCATCGTCATTTGTTTCGTGCTTGATGTGCTAGCCGATTTTCGTAAGCAAGGATCACACTTCTATTTTTTAAATCCTCGTCAATTGTATCATGTCTATGTTATATAGCCACTGATCCTAAACCATGTAAATATGGCGATTCGGACTGTATTGTAAAGGTGATGAACGACTTGATCAGTAATAAGGCGACGATTGGCGATCGGGCTTTGAATTTGGTCAAGCTCGATCCGCTACCGGTGACTAAAATGAACATCAAACAGGGAGCCGAAAGTCCAGTTAACATTGATCTAACATTTACTGATAACAACGTCTACGGTATTAGCTCTATGAAGTTCCGAAAAGTCAAGTAAGTGGAGGATCACCGAATAGAAATAATCAATTCATATATCTAAAATACAGGGGCTTCGGAAAAAGCATTGACAAAAAACATGAACTGTTGTTAAATGCAGGCAAGCTGAGCCTTGCCGGGCCCTACAAAATCAAGGGCAAGGTCCTAATACTCCCCATCAGCGGCAATGGAGAGAGCAACATGACATTGGGTAATTATCATAATGATTTAATTCAAGAAGCACAACTAGCATTAGCGATAAATTCAATTGTGATTGATTTTCAAGGTGAAAATTCAAAAATATTTGAATCGGTATTAAGATTACATTTATACAAAATTAAAAAAATAGTAAATGAAATGAATTTGTAAATGAACAATTAAGTATAGGTTTTTTATTCAGCGTACTATTTAAATCATTTGTATGTAATGTTCAATATGCGAACAATTTAAAAAAGATCTGAACTACCTCAAAACTTAAATACTAGGGACATAGTATATATGGGTTTGACATCGCTGCGTTCATACATGTTGAAAGTTAGACGTACGCTAGGGCTAAAACCCCAAAGCTGATTGTCCTGATCGAGCTGTGGTGATTTTTATACCCTGAACCCATTGAAAATGGGAAATCAGAGTATAATGGTTTTGTTAAAAGTATATAACAGGCAGAAGGCAGCGTGGCAGACCCCACAAATTATATGAATTTATTTTCGATCAGGGTCCGTCTGTCCGTATGTATGAGCGCGTCGACCTCAAAAGATATATGAGCTAGAGATTTGAAATTTTTTTCTAGGTCCGTGTATATCACGCGCATATCGAGTTTTTCTCTAAAAATCGATAACTGCTCCCAATATTTTATTATCGATTAAATACCTTATCGAGAGCTAGTTATTTAATTATTTTTCTTACACCTTTAGAGCTACAGATCCCAAATTTTAAAAGTATTATTATATAATCCACAATATATATATATACATGAATACGTTTATTTATTTATAATGAATTATAAAATATAATTTATAGTCGAATATAAAAATTGAGCGCTCAGTGAAAGAGATAAGCAAAACTTGATTAGTATATGGTTAAGATTCTAAATCCTTCGCTTGTATATTGATAGCAAGATGGCTACTGCGCAAAAAGCGTATTCAGTCTTTTCATTAATATTAATAATGTATCTCCCACAGTCAACTGTGACATGATAGTAAGCTTTACCGGCATACCCGTGGAGAAGGATGGCGAGACCTATATGGAGGCAACCAATCTGAAGCTGTCGACCAAGCCGGAGCGTTTGTATTACCACTTTAGCAATCTGTTCAATGGAGATAAGGCCTTGGGAGATAACATGAATACGTTCCTCAACGACAACTGGGAAGCAATATTTTTAGAGGTGCAGCAGTCAATGCAATCGGCATTTGCGGAAATATTCCAAACGATTATCTCAAATGTTTTCTCAAAGTATCCCTACGCCAAGTTCTTTGAGGAGTAAATAAGCTAATGTATTATAAAAATAAAAGAACACACATATACATATTTTACAGGAGCATTTAAATGGCCCGCTAATGATAGTAGCTGCCATTTAATTGACTAATTTAATGGCACTAGGTCAAAGAGTGCTTTTTTTTTTTTTTTTTTTTTTTTTTTTGCAATACTAGGTGTGTGGTATGCAATTAATCAATTACAATTATCAGCCTGAATACATGCTCTTGGATCATTAAGCTATTTGATCATATTCGATTTATATGATAAACAAGAATAATAAGTTTACAAGGAAATAAAAAACTTGGATTTTATTGATAGTTCATAAATTGATAGTTCATAAATAATTAAAATTGAATAGGTAAATTATAAGTTAATGAAAATACCATATTTAAACGCTGCATACAATTACGGAAGTCGT